TTTGACACTTCTCTGGCCATTATCTCCGTAACCGTTCAACTTTGGACATAGGTGTTTTGGGTTATATCGGCATACTTTAATATAAGGAACACCCTCCCGAAGTTTGGCACATTCCTCCTGGGACACCCTGTATATACACATACACAGATGGAATATTCATGGAGACTCGAAACATGCAAATCCTCAAAATCTCAAGACTGATTTTTTCACGATAAAGATACTGTCTGATATGTACAATACTTGTTTCAAATATGACAGGGACTGATTTGTGTGTAAACAAGCTGCACTGCGCAGCAGCTGTGCGACCTTGAGAGATTGTAGCCACAACCTCCACTCTCCCTCCTGTTAGGGTTAGAACCTGTTCAGTGCTGTCTGGAAGTTGCTAGAGGAATAAGCATACAGAAGGTACCGCGGAGTGTGGAACAACGCATTGTGATCAAATTCCTCATTGGAGAAAACGTTCCATCCGCTGAAATTCACCAGACTCCAACAACAGTATGGGGAAGAGTGTCTCTCATGGACCCGTGTGTTTGAGTGGTGTAAGTACTTCAGAGAGGGCAGAGAGCGCTTGGAGAATGAACTACATGATCGTCGGCCGTGAACATCTGTCACTGAGCCAAACATTGATCGTGCAGACACGCTTATTCGTGAGAGCAGGTGCATCACTATCAAAGAACTTGGAGCAATGCTGTCCCATCAGTGTTGTGTAAAAGACATCGTGAAATACCACCTGCACTATCACAAGGTGAATGCACGGTGGGTAGCACGCACTTTGACGGACGTGAACAAAATGGTGTGCATGCAAGCTGCCAGTCGTCTGCTACAGCAGTTTGAAAACAAAGGTCATGCATTTTTGAAGTCTATAGTGACCACCGATGAAACGTGGGTGCACTAGTTCATTCCCAAGCCCCAGCAATCATCACGTGAGTGGCGACATACCAGTTCTCCCAAACCCAAGAGAGCGTGGAGGAGCTGTTTGGCAGGAAAAGTGATGGCAACGTTATTCTGGGACTGGCAGCGCGTTATCCATGTAGACTTTCTGACAGATGCCAGAATAGTCAATGCAGCTTATTACTCAGACCTCCTGGCAACAGACGTGAAGGAAAAGATCCAATCCAAGCGGAAAACAGGTGGAAAGCGGGTAGCCTTCCTTCAAGACAATGCACATCCCCATACGGCCAAAACAATGGAAACCCTCCGGAAATTGAAATGGAACCTTCTGACACATCCGCCGTACAGTCCCAATTTGGCCCCAAGTGATTTCTACCTGTTCGGAAGGCTCAAATCAGACTTGCAAGGCATGTGGTTTGTGGACGACACTGTCATCCAGACTGTTTGGGAGTGGACATGCCGCCAACCACAAGCATTTTTGAAAAGGGCATCAGGATGCTTCCAGAATGTTGGAAAAAATGTGTTGACTCTGGAGGGGAGTACGTTGAAGACTGACATGTGCAAGTAAGTGTTTGGCAATTATGGTTAAAAAAAATCAGTCCCAGTCATATATATATATATACACACACACACACACATCTGAAAATAAAAACAGAAACATGACACATGAACTGTGTCTACTGAGTTGTGACACCATGCAGTCTGGTAGCTGAGTATCAGAATTTCATCTGTCTTCAGTGTGTCGTAACCCAGAAGGCCACAGTAATAAGTGCGTGACGTGCGGTGTACTCACACACTGCTCCCAAACAGAACATTCCACTGACGCTCAATGAAGTTGCTGATGTGCATCTTCCAGTGGAAGTAGCCAAGCCAACTCACACCATCTGAACGGCTCTGCAGGTTATACAGCGTGAGGATGATCAGGTTCACCCTGAAGCAAAAATCATGCTTTCATCTGATGGTGCCATAACTGCTTGCCAATAACATCTATATACTTCATGTTACCGTCTTCCGAGCTCAGATCTTCGGGGCAGATGTGGAGCCAAATGCTGGCTGGCAGTCCCTACAGTACCACATAGTGTTTTTCCCTTAAGTTGCTTACTTAACAGAGCTGTTAGTATCAAGACTATGTGGCGTTGATATAACTTAGAACACACCGTTAAGAATATTCACTGCCATGAACACCTCACATCTTGTGCAAGAACTGTATACTCTAGATTCAAATTCTGACAGCAAAATGTCTGCCGATAAATTCTGATTACTTGTACTATACAAATGTGTTGGTTCTGTCAACAGATGCCATACTATGAACTTTCTTAACCAGTGCTTACTTATGTGCGATTTTACCAGTCTCTCGACTTCCCCTGCGAGACAAAACTGCCAAGACACAGTGGATTTATGTCAGAAGCGGCAATATGCAGCGAAATGGTTAGGGAGGGGAACATATTTCAGGCCCAGAAAAGAAACATGTACAGTAAATCTCACTAACACAGTTACAGTTTATACAGATGTCAGATAATCCAGATTATGAAATATGAACAATTCTGTTCAGAGTTGAGTACATGCTTTAAAAGACACATGGGATTTAGGGGCAAGAGGGCTTTCAGGCTGTGTTGAGGGTGGCTGGAGAGACTGAAACCATGCAGAAAATATCCAAGACTGGCTTCAGCTGGACGAAGGAGACTCTGCAATTCACCTTCTGACAGAGGAAGAAACTGCTGCAATGGTATTCATTTTCATCAGCATTATCTAAATTATTAAATTTTCCTTTTATTTCTTTTCTAAGTTTTTTTTTTTGTCTTCTAAGGCTTTGTTTCATTCATCTGCATATTGATTAATCTGGATGACCTCACTCCCCCAATTAATCTGGACTGGCAATGGTTCACTGTATATATAAATAACATCCCCATTCCATTTCCTACATAAACTCCATTTGTTTCTATTTCAGCAGCCTGCTGCATTGGCATCATTTTTACAACATAAGCATACCATCTATAATGCAACAATAACCATATATATGACACTAAATATATATTTTGTTTTGTTATTAATAACAAAACCGACGACATGCCTAAGGGCACAGAAGACAATGTGTACAGTGCAGTGGTCTCCCCAATAACAAAAAAATTTGTCTGATGATGGTCCACGTGTTACCGAAACATTTTGCAAAGCACTTTTAGTGTATTAAATATATTTTTAGTGTCTTTTATATAAGGTTATTGTTGCATTACAGACAGTATACTTAACAATCTGAAAATGATCCATTTGTTTCCTTTGTTCTTGTACTTTCTACCATGAAAATGGAAGTAGTACATTCCTGCAGAATACACAAATACAAGACACATCAACATAAACCATCCTTCATTGTATACACTGTGAGAACACACAGAATTTCTGTTATGAAGAAATGTATTTCACACCTAGTTGTCCATTCCACAGAGAAAATCTTTAGGCAATTCGGATAAGATTGAGAGCATACGATGGGGTACCCAAAAGAAACCGAACTAATTTTTTTGTGGGCAGAGCTTTTGTAGTACCGCATTTTGCCGCTATGAGCACACAGAGCTAACATTCCTGAGTCGATAAGCCGACTACTGTTGCTTCAGAAGGTAAGGACTAGTTTCGGCAGAGTTTATAGTGACAACTGTTTTGTGTGATCATCGTTTTTGCAATGGCTGACTTTCGTGAACAGCATGCAGCAGTGAAATTCTGCTTTTTGCTCGGGAAAAGTGGAACACAAACTCTTGAAATGTTGAAAACGGCGTACAAGGACGATGCTATGGGGAAAACTCAAGTGTTTGAGTAGTTTTCCCATTTCAAAAATGGTGAAATGTCAATTGATGACAAACCTCGTTCTGGTCGTCCTTCCACGGCCTGAACACATGAAAATGTTGAAAAAATTCGTGAAATCATCAAGGAAGATCGACGACGGACCATTGAAGAAATTGTGGAGCTGTCGGGAGTGATTTGGAGCTCAGCGGCCAGATTTGTGGCAGTCGAGTGACTGGTTTTTCCATCATGACAATGCCCCTGCTCACACAGCCCTGTCTGTACGACACTTCTTGACCAAAAATGGTATGACCCCTGTTCCTCACCCTCCATACTCACCCGACCTTGCCCCGTGCGACTTTTTTTTGGTTTCCTAGAATGGAAAGAGACATGAAAGGAAAAAACGACGGAGGCGCTGTCAAGCATCTCAAAAGATGAATTTAGACAATGTTTTGAAAAATGGAATAAAAGACTAGACAAGTGTATTAGTGTAAGTGGAGAGTACTTTGAAGGGGATTGAAGGTTTGTGCTTAAAATTTGAATAAATAAGTTCGGTTTCTTTTGGGTACCCCCTCGTACATCACCCATACCATTAACAGCACCTTCCACAAATACTTCGCTCATTTAAAATTGCCAAATATGCAATAGAACCCCTTAAGCCAATCCAGGTTTAAAGATATGACATCAAAAGCGGCTCTGGAATGTTCCATGAAAAAAGGCGCCAAACCATATTCTATAAAACTTAGACCCTACAGACATGTAAACCCATTCCGTGTAGTACCAACAGTACATTCTTACCATGGCATTTTAATTCTAGTGAACTCCTCCTGGTCGAATGTACTGCAATTATGGCATACGAATTTATAAAAAACATCCGCGCGTAAGCCTCCCGGGACCCCGCCGCTCTTCAAGCAACGAATGTGAACCTTGTGACTGCATACTTCACACGTCAAATATGATTCACTGTCCGTCCTCAAACAATATGCACACGTACTCATTGTGCAAGATAATGTTTATATTTTCAGCTGCTTATTATTACACAGATGCTTTTGGTTATGTTATGCCCCACTGGCGCAAACACATGATGCTGCCTACACTTTGTACAAAATTATTTCCTTTTATAGCCGTAATTGGAATACTCTTTTATTCTCAATACATTTCATGACTTTCACAATTCTCTAAAAATTTACAAAACAACCAATAATAACACAATCTTGTCGTACATTCCATCTCCATCAACTATTTAACTTCGACACAGCCGCCATGCTAACTTTTCTAATGAAAAGTGTTTCAATTAGCGCGCAGTGCAAACCTGCAAACTGCATGCCGGTGCTCTGTTGCTAGGATACCAACAACTTATTTACAAATGGCGACAAAATTTAAAATGTTTCTGCATGTACTGCAATTTCACATTATTATCTGAATTCATTCAGCGATGAAGATATATTTTACAACTATAAATAACAGGCGGATCTAATCTACTGTAAAAATAAAGTCATTTCATTCTGGAAAATTAGAAGTTTGTGCTCATTTGTACATAATCAGCTGCATGTCTGCATCCACAATACAACCTCGGATCTTCTATGGTCTGAAAAATGGCATAATTGGCAGTGCCTCATATATTTCAGAAAATGAAATATTATATCCTGCTGGTGGGGTTCTGATAGTACACAATTATACACAGAAACTACAACGCTACATAAAACTTGAAGAAAAAGACAAACATGTCAATATTATATGTGTAAGTCCATCAAGGTAAGTTAACTGCCACAGAATTTGCTAACTCACCCCCGTGTAACTTTATCTTTTCTTCGTAACCGAAATGTGTTTGATGCTCTGAAGACTGTTCCCAAGCTACACACTTAAATTTGCCTTTCCACTATCCAGCTCTATTGGGTCCGAACCTGTGTGAGACCATGTTTCACACCCACTGGTGTCTGTAAATATGTTATTCAAAGAATGTGTTGATACAAATGCAATTATGTTTTAAAGGAAAGTAGCAGCAGTGGCAGAGAGAGGGGGTAAACCTTCCATATCTATTTATGACCTTACCACGCTGAAGAAGAAAAATATTTTGAGGCAGTTGACAGAAACAGCAGCACAGGAGTACGTTTCTTTATCATTCTCCTTTGATGGGAAGTTCCTGGCAGCCATTGTGGGAGACCCAGACTGGACCCTGATATACTTCCAATGGGAGAAGGGAAAAATAGACAGCATGACCAAGGCCAGGAACCCAACAACTTCAGGACATGTGACTCAGGTGAAGACCCTTAACAACACTGTAACACACTCCCTTATATCTGATAAAACAATGAGTGGCACGGTGAGCTTGAGCAAGAAACTGCTGCCTTCACGTTCATTCTTCTAGCCTCAAGATGAACGCAGCAGTTTCCGCACGTTATACCCATCCACCAGACTATACACTCATCCCAGAACTGCATTTCTAACATTCACAGCCACAAGAGAGTCAAACCCTTCATTCTGATATTTTGCCTTACACTAAAACCTTAGATTTTACTTGATATTTTTTATTTGTATTGAAATATATAGAACAATGAAACTGCAGTTATATTTGTAAGATTTGAGGCTTTCACGGCGGTGACTTACCCACAATGGAAAAAAAATTTAATGTAAATATACAACAAAAAATTCATCCAAATTAACAAACTTCCAGCAAACAAAATTTCAGCTTCCTGTTGCACTGAGGTGTCATTTGTAGCCTTGTTTTCCATCTATAATGCAACAATTTAAATTTTAAACGACATTAAATCACATTTATTTCACTAAAATGTTCGTTAAATGTTTGTAATGTCATTAAAATACATGTACATTCAGTGTTTATGCTACATGTTTAAGCTGTACAAGGCCATCTTCAGGCAACACATTTTTTAAGGAGTTTACTGCACTGTGCACTTGGTCAAATAGACACGTCATTGTTGTTATCATTAATTGCTTTGCAACACAAGGTACACACAACGAAGAGAGAAGCATACCCAATGCGACACAAACAGTCGCAATACAAAATATAGGAATAAGGCATCTTATGTCATCAAAATTAAGCTCACCAGACAATGTGTCACAGAATGAGGACTTATACACGCAATATGCGGCAGACAGCTGGACAGATGCACCTCCCCACAAGACAATGTGTCACAGAGTGAGAACATACGCAGCCTTTTGCTTGCAGGTGGCATGTAACCCAACAGACAGTTCCGTCCTTGTTATTGTTGGACTGCAACTATTCAGACTACTTTGTGCAACAGAGAAGACTTGGCGTCAGTATGGATGGTCGAAGGCTGATTCACTGAACATCACAAGCGTGGCATGGCTGACATTTGACAGTGTCATAGCAGGCACCAGCAACGGTAACCTGCTGCTTGTGGAGAATGGAGAGCTGAAAGCTATCTACAGAGCAATGGATCTGACAGACATAAACATGAAGCTCCATACGGAGTAAGTAGCTTCAGAAGGAAATGTGACAGCAACTTATGGTTTGATGCTGATAATACACTCCAAAAACATTAAACAGTAAGATGTGAGTCATGAACCAGATTGCACAATATGAATTTGGAGAGATCTTCACCACTGTGAAAATGTCAAGTTCTCTAGTAAATATGGTTTCAAGTCCAATGTAGGAAGTAGCAATTTACAGTACTGTAACACAAGGAACTAGTTATTATGGATGTGAGCTGTGGGCATAAAAACTAAAACTGTATCAGATGGTAGCTTCGTTAGAATCTTCAGGTTCTGTTAAGGTAGTTACACAACATAGCCCCCCAGAGATTAACGCCATTTTAACACTCTGAAGTTTTACGTATTATTAGGTTACTCAGTTTGCATGTTTGGAAAACCACAGCAACAAAATTTATTCCCTTGACAACCGTGCCTATAAACACAGCATTGATTCTCTGGGTTTCAAAGCATTTGTTAACGACCTGCGAAGTGATTTCTCTTTGCCAAGTTCTTATCCTCAAATTTTGCCAACATGCATCTAATGTGCCTTAGATTAGCCATGTCATATGTTGAAGCTGTTCAAACATATCAGTGTACACTGAAGTTGCCACCTTCCGGGTGAGTGCAAGGCACATGAAGAAAGTGACCCAATATGTATAGGTGTCTCACCAATCCTCTCACGGTACACCTATACAGTATACTGGATGACATCCTCCTGACTCATTCACACTGAAGACGGCAACTGCAATGTATACTGAAACAGCTTCAACACATAATGCGACTAAGCCCCAAAAGCTAAAGTTATACAAGCTGTACTGAGTGGGCAGCTAAGTCACTAACAAAGTTTCCTCATGTTCACAAGGGCAGTTTCGGTATCAGCTTTGAGACTTGTGGTCTCCAGAGACCACGTTCCTCATCCAGAACTGGCAGTGCGAGCACTCATCAACTTTACAAAAGGTGAGTACAGCAAATTACTGTGAATTTCTGTTGCAGGATCTGAACAAGAGCTGTGGAACCATAACTCTGAAATCAGTTGATGGGTTTTCATTGGATCACACATGCACACACAAGACACCACACCTCATCCTTCTTGGTATCCTGCCTCTGGCCATTCATTTTACAGGACCAAACCACTGCAATCACTTCTCTTCTAACTCTTGATCTGGAAAAAATTTCCTTTCTAATTTTATCATACTTATCAGAAATTTCATGTTCATCAATTGGATTTTGCACCATATGTTTCTGTAGGTTCCACACATTAGGGAAAGAGCACAAACTGAGAACAGGGTGCAGGGGAAAATATGGAGCCGAGAGAGTTACATAATATGGGCTTAATAATTTTTACTCATCACAGTAACACTCTTAGTGCAATTGAATGAAGAAGGGTACGATGGGCAGAACATATAGCAGGCACAATGAACAATTAAAAATGCACACAAAATTTTGGTTTAAAAATGTCACAGAAAGAGACCCACTTGAGACACGAAAGAACAGATGGGAATATAATATAAAAATGGACCTTTCAGCAACTGTGTGGATGGAATTAAATAGGTGCAGTCTTGGGCCCACTAGTAGATTTAATAAATATGGAAATGAACTTTTGGGTTCAGTAGAAAGTGAGGAATTTCTTGGCCAGGTGAGGGACTATGATTTGTTATGGAAGACTACTTACTGTGGAGCTAATGGGAGTCATATTGGTTCCTTTGGCATAAAATGAATATCAGAAGAGAATTTACATTACAGTTCATAGAATCTGTTGAGAATTATTGGAACTGGAGCATACAGATGGGTAAACAGGCATGACATCCCCATTATGCGTTCATTTCTTTGCAGTGATTGCAAGTAGCACATAAGATGATTACGGTTCTATGTAATTACCAGCCCATTGACCTTTCAGGGGGAAATTGGTGTGGTTATCAGACTGTATTTGTTTCCCTGCAGCCCAGTTTTCACAGGAGAGGACCTGTGGGGCACTTCAAAATCACAGTTTCGTGGAATGTGCGTACTATGAATATGAAAATTTATGCTATGATAGTTAGCAATATGCGGTAAGTGGCGCTGCTGTTTAGAGGTGTGCCACGATCCTCCTTCAACAAAGGTTAACTGTGCAGTATCTTCTTGAGCATAATTACCACTGCAATCTTCTGATCATGCTCATAACATTTGGATGTTGACGAGTGGAATGTGAGGTGTTCTAGGGTTCGCATTTGCTTGTGGCTCTGGTATGGTACACCTGTTTGAAAGGGAAACAAGCAGCAAGTACAGCAAGAGGAACGTGTTCCTCATCCCGGAACCTGAATTCCAGGAACCTGGCAAGGAGGATCTCAACACAGTGCAGGCTCTGAGCATCAGCCCTCAAGAGGACCAACTGCTGGCCACTGCCATGTGGTCACAGATGTTCTCAGTGAAGCTCTGGGGTCCCAGCATCACCCAGGTACAGACAGCTGATATGACAGAAAGATGCGAGCTCTCATGCCTCACTATCAGCCAACTGCCACTTTTATGCGCTAATTGCATCTCTTATCCAAGAAACTGTTGGCTATTATCCTCAAGTCTCTAGTCGACCCACATTTGTGATGTTGCAGGCTCAGGAAATCCCATTCAAAATCGTGGGTGAACAGTTACACTACGGGCCCATAACAGGTCTGTCCGTGTGTGCATGGAAGCCCCTTTTTATGACTTGTGGGCAGCTGGACAGGACGGTCAGCGTGTGGAACTACGAGACTGGAATGCAGGAGCTTATGAAGCGGTACCAGGATGAGATATTCTCAGCAGCCATTCACCCTACAGGTACAACTCCTTCTGAAATAAACACACACAGGACCACAGTCCTTACTGCATGGACCACTTGCTCTAGCAGTCACAACCCCACACTGGCAGTACTTCCAAGCTGTTTGCCTCTCCACAGGCCTGTATGCTCTGATTGGCTTCTCTGACAAGTTACGGTTCATGGTCATGACTTTAGATGACATGCGCCCATGTCGTGAGTTCTCCATCCGCGGCTGCCGAGAGTGTTGCTTCAGCAATGATGGGCACCTGTTTGCTGCGGTCAATGGCAACACCATCCAGGTGTATTCATCTGTGTCATTTGAGAATATGCACAACCTGAAAGGACACAATGGGATGGTACGTGGCAATCCAGATGCTCCCACGCTGCACTATCAGAGCCATGAAAGCTCAGTCAGTATAGTGACTGGACAGAGTCCAGCACGGGTAGGCACATTTCTCTGCCACCCTGCACACGCTTTTGGCCCAACTGACCTCTCAGCCAATGAGAGCGTAGAGACTTTCATGTGGGATAAGAAAAAGTATGAAGTTGGCAGAAAATCTGCATTTTAATACGTATTTATGGATCACATTATAGTATTCAGGAGAGAAGAACATATTTTTTAAAAATAATTATGATTTGTGATGTTAAAATCTGTATAATTCCTTTTTTTTCAATTCTGATTTTTTCAAAAAATTCCAGGGGGACAGATATCTGCCTTGCCCTCCCACCCCTGCTGGCACCCACATTTCGTTCCCTAACATGAAAACAGATCTATAATGTCGGCTGTCAGAACTGAAATCAGAAGATCCCATTGCAGATTAGGGCACTGGTCTGGACTCAGCAGGACATGAAGCTGGTGTCCTGTGGGACTGAGGGAGCGTTATATGAATGGGACATGTCCTCTGGCACAAGGATTGGTGAGATCATCACCAAGGGATGCATATTTAGCAGTGCTGCAGCAACTACTGATGGCAAGACCTCATTTGGCACTGGCATTGATGGAAGCCTCATGGAAGTTACCGGATCAACGGTGAGACAATGCTGACATGTATTAATGCTTAGAGATGGTGCCGCCATCTTGCCTATGGCATAACTTAACACACTACATGAGGAAAGGGTCACTGTCCAGCTAGCAAAGTGTTGGGCTCTGGGCTAGATGACTGCAGCTCCATTTTGCCTCTACTCTGTTGGCCTCCTACAATTGTTAGCGAGGGTCTCGTCTCCATGCAGTGACTCGACTCCACCCCTGCTAACTGTACACATGCCATGCCCCCATCTGCATCAATGACAAACTGACCCCTGTCTGTATTCTGAATGCCTTTCTGAAATTCTGGGACCCTCATTGTTCTTGATGCTTATTTACTGTAGACACAAATTCACTGCATACTCTTAGTCATGCAGACATACCCATCCCTTTTCTGGGATATGGTTGCTTTCCTGCAACGTCATTGAATATAGTAGCTAAATTTTATAGTAAGGAACAACACTTAAATTAAGAAATTAAAGTTTACTCATATAGTTAAAATAAAAGATTGTAAATGAGAACATCCAAAACCTGTTACCATACCTGCGCATTATAACAACAGTTATGGTTACCTTACATACTGGCAAGATTTCACAGTAAATTTCATATCGTCTACGCTCTCAGTCAGGACTTTGGCAGGAAACACAAAAGATATTTACAGATATAGCAGACAAGAGCACAGAGAGGTTGAGCCACCTGAGTCAGATCACAACACTTGATAACACAACATGTTTCAGATCACACAAACCATCAATCTAACAGGGCAACAGCTGGACTGCATAGTGCTGTCCCGTTCGAACCAGATGATGTTCCTTGCCGCTCATAATGGCAGTGTGCTCTCTGTCAAATACCCACTACAGGAACCTGTCCAGTACACAGACCACAACATGCACAGTCACCCCATCACAAGGGTAAGTTGCTCTAAATTAGTTGCAGTTCCAGCTCTGGTATGTTTGGAGAGCACAGCATTTTCCGGATGTGAGGCTGTGCAGATTTGTAAGTGGTTACCAGTGCTGCAAGTGATCCTCAGCATATCATTACTCTTCCACCCTGATGATGGAGGCAGCAGGATCTTCCAAGACATTGGTACCTATCTACCAGACTACATGGTGTCACACGTCAGGAGGCATTCAACCGTAAGAACCTCAAATCAATCAAAAAATAAAAGACTGATATTGTTCAGGTGATGAAACAAAGAAGCATCAGATGCAGTACGATACAAATGTGAGAAAGAGAACCTTAATGGAAGAGACCTGTTCTCAGACCTTGGCTCAGCTGTGACGAGACGATTGTTCTGAAACTCAAGTTATGGTCCAAGAGAGGATTTTGTGATTGCTACAATGAATTTAAAGTTCCATAAAAGTGGTATTTCTTGGATAACTGTACAGCATTAGGTAAAGTTGTCCCTATGCCATGAAGGTGTGTGGGGATTGAAGGTACAGCTCCAAGTATCCTTAGTCTTGGCAGTAGATGGTTGGAGGTGGGTAGTCAGCTTGATGCCCCAGACATTTTATGTCCTCCAGGGAGGGAGGAATCTGCTGATACTCATTGGATGGATATGAGGCTGGGTGGGCTCAGAGCTGGTCTGATGCTGTTGAGAAGAGCAGAATCCTTGTGTTTGCTGGGTATAACACCCCGATCATCCAGCCTACAGCCCAGAGTCCCTGTTAGTTGTGCTGGTGGGTCACTAATTCACTTAGTGGGGGGTGGAGTCCAACCGGGTTCACTCGGCGCGGTGGCCACTGATTGGCCTACTTAGCCTGCCCCGGGTGATTATGATAATGGAGAATTTGGTGGAATGAAGATTGGCAGGGGAAACCGAAGTACTCGGAGAAAACCCGCTCCGGCACCACTTTGTCCACCACAAATCCCACTTGACCAGATCCGGGATCAAACCCGGGCCACCACGGTGTGAAGCCAGCAACTTACTGCTTTAGCTATGGCACGGCCTTGGTGAGTCACTAAAGTTAACTTCTTGTATTTAGCCCATTAAGGCAGTTGCTGTGGGAGAGGTGAGATTGACTCCTCTGCTTGCAGATGTGCATGTCATGTGATGGCCTGACCCTGATCACCTGCTCAATGGATGGGACCATCTGCATCTGGAAAGTAGCACCCACTAAGGGTGAGTACAAGGATGTGGCATCTTCCTGTTGCTCTGGGAGAATCAAAGTGACGGGATGATCCAGAACAGGTGCTAGGCAGTGGACAGGACTGGCAACAAAACAAAAGGGAAACATTTTGGGAAGGCAGTAGAGGCTGGCCTGTAAAATGGTAATGATGCTAGAAGACAATGCTGAGATGGAGAGAGAAGAGAGGCAGTGGAAATGATAGGCCAGATATGAGAGCAGCACAGTGAAGAAATGCATAGGAAATTTAGTGTCAAAAGTAAAGTTGAAGAGATTTAAATCCATAGAGTGAATTATAAATGTAGGGGTGAAGATAAAGGGGGGTGTCATATGAAAAGGATTTCAAACTGGAATTTCATTAAATTGCCTGATCCATGGACACAAGCTGAACGCTATGTTTAGATTTCTGTTTATTAAAAACGTTATTTCAGCTGTAGAGGTTACATCAAATAACAGGGTGATGATAAATGAGTTATCAAGGAACCAGATGTAAGCCTCAAGTTCATCTAAACAATATGTAAAAATTCAGTTACTACAGAAAACACACTACACTTCCATTACAGAGGCCAACCAGTTATTGCTGTTTAAGGCTGCCAGGATCATATAAAACACCAAAATTGCAGAATTTTTAATCCTGAATCTTGTGGTATATATGTATTTACCATTGTGCTTTAAGGGTTAAGCTAGGGTCATAGCACTTGTGCACAGGGATAGCTACTGAAACCTTTAGTTAATACAGCTGGTCTTTGTCAGCCAGTCAGTGAGGGTATCGACCATTGCACGCACCTTGTGTCTTGCAGGCAGAACAGTGGAGATGGACAGGGAGTTCCAGCCATCAACTGATGTCCTGATTAGCAAGGCAGACCTACTAGACAAGATTCAGTTGATCAAGGACTTGTCAGTGCGGATGCATGAGTTGGAGTCAGAACAGGCATACAAGGCGCAGAAGAGTGACTCGTTGCATGCTCAGGAAGTGAAAGAGCTGCAGGAGGGCTACTGCCAAGCTATCAAGGAGCTGAAGGAGAAAAACGAGGTGAGGATCACAAGGTGTGAGAAGGTACTGCAGGGGTAAGTGACCCGTTGAGAACACAGACACCAATCTTGTTAGTGAAGAAGTGTGTGAGTGAACACACTGTCACTTGACATCCCTTATTTGCAGCAATTGGAATCAGACCACACAGCAGAACTCAACAGCAGCAATGAAAACATGTCCAAGATGAAAGAAGCCCATGAACAAGCAATCATGGCTCTCGAGGCAAATTTCAATGAGAAGCTCATTGTGGAATATAATAAGTATCAGACCCTGGAGGCACACACCAACAAGATCAGTGAGGACTACGAGAGGTATGATTGGCTAGCAGTAACAGCACCATTCACTGTTGCTGCAAATGGAGGATCTCGTGTCACACAGATAATTACAGACTCCAACATTTCTGCTACATTTTGAATTGGGAGTTTCACATCTTGTTTCAGCAGATACCATAATTCTTTCCTCCAGAATCTATACAAACTAGCCAAGGTTGTTTTTATTGTATTTGACATCCAACTGACAACTTCTGGCACCATACCATATAATTCAGGGTAAATATCAACAATAAGACATGTGAAGGTTGTGGTCTTAAAAGTTCCCATGTCAATTGAAAGTGCATAAAGCAGGATGTGCCCTGAATGAAGGACTCAGTCTCGACCTGCTCTTATGACTGACACTACTGCAATGTGTTGACTGAAGTCGGCATGCCACCCCACATGTGTGTTATGTTGCAGAAAACTGCAAGAGCTCTCCCGCCAGAGGAAAGACGAGCTCAGTTCAACAACAGAGCAGTACAAGACGCAACTGGCACAATGCAACCTGCTAATAGCAGAGGTAGGTATATTTCAGCTTCTCGGCAATTGCAATGACTGCAAAGGTGCGGTACTATCCCACCCACCTCCATGCTGGCAGCAGGGACTAAAACCAGGCTGCACAGCTAGCCTCCAGGTCAAGGTCTGAACCTCTTGCAGACTAAGTACAGATTTAATTCAAATCTTAAGTTATCACAGCCATGAATGTTGAGATTACTGTCATTTGAGATATGATGCCATACAGTCTGGTAGATAGGTGCCAACATTTCACAGGAACCTGCTGCATCCATCATCAGGAAATAATACAGCACTCGGCATGAGTGAGGAATACTAATATATGATCATTTCTACATCCATTATTTTTTGTGGACATGATACAGTCATCATCTTGGTTCTGCATAGCGGTAACTGCGTCTCATTTGCTGTACTCTTCCCCAAATCAGTATGTCCAACAGTGTACCTACACATTTCATTTTGTTCTCTCTAAACATTATCTGCTTATTGTCATGACACACTGTGGCTCTGCTACAAAGCCCAGGCGGTTAATGCTGTTTAGGGAAATACTCACTGTTTACTGTGAGAATATTAATGGAACACATAAATACACAGTTTGCGCACAGTGGTCACATTACTCGTACATGTACCTACTGCTGTAACATTCACAGTGACTACTGTGCTTGCATCTGGAGGATTAACATAGTTTTCCTCAGTTTCTCTACATGAAGTCTAGAACCATGCTACTGCCCACAGCTGCACAATGAGGTGGACCGACGGATACGAGAGAATGAGGCCACCACACAGCACATTGAGGACGATGCAGACCATGAGATTGTGGAGCTCAAGACAGGCTATGAGAAACTGTTGCATGAGGAGAGAGAAACAAACCTGCGGCTGAGAGGGGAGACAGGCGTCATGAGGAAAAAGTTTGTAAGGTAACAGTGCAAACCCACCAGTGAACATGATCGTGAGCCAGCTCCATCCACCTCCATTCCTTACAATCTATATCTCTATGATTCACCTTAATATTGTGACATGACACCTGAAAGCTGCAATCTGCCCATTTTATGGGGGGGAGGGGGCGCTTCATTGTGCATGTTCCTGTGGCAACACGGTGGGCACTGCTGCTGGACAATGAATTGTTGGAATATGTTCCCACAGCAACAAATACAACTGAAGAAGTAATGCATTGCATACGGAGTCACATGAATTCCTAGGCAACGCATACAGAAACGTTTCCGTTCAAATGGCAATGAACCTCCAAAGCACAGTAACAGTGAAGAATGTGTGAACTCTACTGCTGAAGGAGCTTATCTTCATAGGGTTCAACCAAAACCTACCTCAGGGAGAGAACTGGTCAGTAGAAGACAGAATATGACAGAAAACAAACAGAAGTCAGAAGTAGTCAGAAGTGAAGTCTTTATTCTATATGGTGTAGTTACAGTAACCTTTAAAGTGTTATCACCAGGGCCCAGATTTTGATGACATGTCATCTTTCTTTCCTTGTATCCTATGTGATGCTCTTAAATATATAAATCTCGGATATGAGCTGCTGGTCACAAAAATTTAAATTTTATAGGTAATTTGTTGTCATTTTTTAACATTTTTAGGTTTAAGGTCATTTTTTCATTTTGGGGGTAATTTTTGGACTTTTAAAGGTATTTCTTGTCATTTTTGGGAATTTTTCATGTTTTCTGAAATGTGAATAACATGGAAGCGAAGTGTTCTTTCTTTTCTCCTTTAGGTCATTTTTCTGGATTTTTTCGGTCATTTTTTTAATATTTTCAGGTCATCAAAATCCGGGCCCTGCATATTACATTTTTGGGTCATATTTTAGGTAATTTTTCTGGATTTTTTCGGTAATTTTTTAAATATTTTCAGGTCATCAAAATCCGGGCCCTGGTTATCACTCTTCATGGTTACAAAGTGTTATAATTACAGTAAGATTGTGTTACAAGTAATCGTAGTTCCCCCTGGTGAATATCCAGTAAATCGATTCATCTAGTCTGGAACCCATTAATTACTTGTCATGTTACCAGGATATGTGACAACATTAGGATACATCTCCTTCCAGTCTTGCAAGCTTCTGGTTTCCACTAAAGACTCCCCGTGAAAAATGTATGAATTTATCTCCAGCTACATGTGCAACCAAATGACCTGATTTCACTACCTTAACACCAGCAGGTGACCTGTATAAACGACAAAGTTCCTCATTATGAATCCACCCTAATTGCTCACGTACTGCAACCTCATTAGCTACGAATATCTTCATTAACATTCTTATTTCAGGCATTTGTAATGTCTCCTCCTCTGAAAACAAGCCCACTTTAACAAGCATGAAACAAAGTGACAAAACCAACATGCAATTTGTCTGTTCCCTATTTCCTACTGTGGACCTCCTAGAGAACACATGAAGATATCACAAAGTTTACTCTGTGCTCTTGCCAGTGCATAGGGTAGACACACCTGCTGCAGCAAGACGTGAGTATTGTGATCTGAATCCTCATTCTCAGCCTTTTGTGTTAATTGTATTTAATTTCTTAATCTGAATGTTATTTCTTCTTCAAAGCTTTAGCTCCTACAGAACAGGCATTGTCCTTGTTGCTGTATATATTCAGGAAAGTTGAAAGGATGGCAACACCCACCTACAAGGCTATCATGCCACTACTAACCTGGGTTTCAGTGCCCAGAGAGAGATAGAGGAGTTCAGGCTCCACGTGTACACACTGCAGCAGGAGCAACAGAGGCTTGAGCAGACAACTGCCAGGCTGCAGCATGATGTCTCAGAGCTCAAGAGGGAGATGAAGGAGCGGGACAGCACCATCCAGGACAAGGTAGGAGCTTTATTGGCTCTAGAATCACTCTGCACCTGAAGAAGTGAGGTGTACAGGCATGAAAGTCCAAGATATTTTGGTGAACAGCCAAGGAGTAAATGAGGCATCTTAAAAGATCTGAGGTTCTCAAGACTGTGCGCTTCATTTGTTTTTTGTTCATTACTTAATGATACTCTCGGCATCAAGACCACGGTCTTCCAGGATATGACAAAGTGTAGTCAGCTTTTCAATTACCTATGTTTTGGAGGAACATACTGCCTCCAGCTTCAGGGTTTGTTCACCATCCACCCAACTACACTGCATCAGATCCTAGGAGATTATGTTGGATGACAGCTTGGTTTACTGTTTTACCCTGAAGTTGGAGACAATGCATTCCTCCAAAACATCCATAAATTTCCATCACACTACAGCAAGAAGATGGTAATGGTTCAGTGCTCCAAAGTCTCAGGCATGAGAATCCCAAATGAAACACCATCATGTCACACTGGACGTTGAGTCCCTAGTTCAAGACCCACAACTGCAGCAATAGGAACATGTTATACACACTTATCCATCTCTTTCTGTACTGCAGGAGAAACAAATTTATGACCTGAAAAGGAAAAACCAAGAGATGGAGAAATTTAAGTTTGTTCTGAACTACAAGATTACAGAGCTCAAGAACCAGACTGAACCAAAGGACCAGGAGATCAGAGCCAGGAGGGAACAGATTCAAGAGGTAAGGCTCCAGCTCTACAGCAACTATTGATAACCTTATGAAGTTTTAATTGATGTTATACCACAAGCTGCACTCAACAACAATGCCTGACTGTGCAGAACTGCTGGAACCGCAGTCAGTGCCACTCACCTCACATCTAGTTCTTAGTCTTCTCTTCCCCATCACAGCTATGTGCCCAGTGCATCATAATCTTGCATGTTTCATTGCCCTGTATAAATTATGAAGAACACTGGTACGTGCAGGCTGCAATTTTAGACAAGTAGATTGCATGTCAGGAAAGTGGTTGCGGCTCTATTGAAGAAGTGTGGAAGAATAACGCACTGTCAAACTGAGGTCCTGTTATGACCCATACACGACCTAAAATTTTTATCTCAGTCAGTGGACTCGACCAACTCCACAACACATTCTGCCGAGATTGGCCAGGCCTGCAAATTGCTCATGTACTCATCCCTCTCAGGAACAAACACTTGTCATTTACAAACCACTAAATAAGTGTTGCATCATACTCCTTCTTGTTCTTGAAAGCAGACATGTGGACAATTGCACCTCAGAATTAAGACCAGTGGAGGTCTCATATGGGTACCATGTGTCATTTTCCACAAAAGGCAGGTCATTTCTTGATTAGCTGAGTAACTATTGGCTTTTTAAGGACTCTGTTCCACTGACTATAATCTTCTGCAGTGACCATCCACACCATGGCTCACCCAAAGCCATGCACGCTTGATCTGCCTTCATCATCATGGTCAATGCCAACCCTGATGATGGAGGCTCACTGAGTCTCCAAACTGTTGCATTTTAGATGAGCCATAGTGCAGACTTTGCTTGCTTATTTCTGCCAGATGGACGCAGAGCTGGAAAACCTACAGAGACTCAACACGAGCCTAGAACTTCAGTTGGCAGAAGTGCGAGGGAAACTGAAAGCAACCGGCAAAGAACTCATGTCTGAGCGTGAGAGGAACCAAGAAGCACGTACGCTCTTCAGGCATATCAGGTTTGACCTACACAATGCATCAGGTCTGATACAAGAACCCAAGGAACTGAAGGACACTGTGAAGGTACATGCCCCTCCATGGCATTTGGTTTGGGCTTTCTTTACGAGTTACTGAACAAACGCTGTCAGCAGCTACACGATACAATATCAAGTAGTATGACGACAGATGAATTATGAATTGGAAAAGATTTGGAAGGAAGTGGTCACAGCCTAAGCTAGGGACCAGCCCAGCATTTGCATGGAGGCACCAAACAAAACCCTCCAAAAATTCAATCAGGATACTTGCTGTCCCAACTGAGATTCAAATCCAGTGCATTATCAATGTGAACCCGCTCAGCACAGCTGGAGTGGATCAATACACGTAACACTACACTTAATTCTGTCATCTTCTGGATTATGACACCGTGCTGTTCCGTGGATGGGTACCAATGTTTCTGAGGAATATTCTGCTTCCATCTTCAGGATGTCCAGGAGGTTGATATCAGTGTTCAGAGAAATCCTCTGCCTCTATCTTCAGGACATCTGGCCGGTGGGGGCAGTGTTTCTCCCAAGTGGTGGTACCCACTACCAGAATGCATGGTGCCATAAACCGCGAGGGCAACACCAACATGAATCCTCACCACAGCAAACACAGTTCCCTGCACATCACATGGTTCAGTGGACCGGGCTCCATCAACTGCACCACACCGTGCAACTGGATGCGGTACTGTGGGGGGCAATGGCCGTGTCCCATTTCAAGACATTTGCACAGAACAACAGAGGAAAAGAAACAAGCACCTCAGCCAGGTTAGGTGTTGCTCTGGCCAAGATGTGAGTCTTCTTCCTCTTGAATTTGAATCAAAACCCCAGACTCACTTCTGCAGTGTCCGCTAGTCCCTTCATAGCAACTGCAGGACCCAGACCACTGCTGTCTGCTTCTCCTTGGTACAGAGATGTAAACACTGGTAACTGGAATTTAAGTGGAGGAGTCCACAGCACAGGGCGCCCTCAGGATATGGAGGGGAGGGCTACAGACACATTGAACAGGAAGGTTCACACAGCTGACAAGGGGGACCCTTCACTTGATGCACGGTCTCAGACTTGCTGGGCCCTTGTGGACACAATAATGAACCTTCAGCTTCCATAACATTCAGAGAATTTCTCAATTAGGTGAGCGACTATTAGCCTTCCAAGGTGAACTTTGCTCCATGAGTTAGTGGAGATTTCTCTCTGATTTTGCGAAGAACCTCCTCCTCTTCCCTTTACAGTTTTATTTTCACCAATTTGTTATTGTACTTTTCAAATGAACAGACAGGAACCACTGTAAGTTGCATCACAATATTCATACACATTCTATTGTGATCTGTCTACTTATTTATATTTATGTAATGGTGCTGTCAGCGGTGCAGATTATACAGCACTGGATGCCAGCATGATTAGTGAATAATGAAAACAGAAAGGGAGGGAAGTGGACGTGACCTGAATTGAGAAGCACTGTCCCAACATTTGCCCAGTCTAAGAAAAACCACTCACTCACACTCACACAAAACAAAGCCAGCCACTCAGTCCCAGGGCCAAGATTCGAAGTGGGACCCTTAACAATCAAAGCATAACTGCCAAACACCCAACTGCAGCAGTGAGGGTGGGAAATGGTAACATGAAAGAAAGATGACTTTTTAAATTAATTCCGACATGTCAATTCCAAATCTGGACATAAAAATCTTTCGTCATATCACAGAGATTTGAGCACTGAATTCTGTGTCAAAATATGTTTCTTCTCAGTTTTATGGCAGTGTTCTTAAACTCTGTGTCAACCCCGTATGTTAGAAAATGTTTTACTGCCGAATAACAATTCATTCTTACTTAAACAGCACCTTCACCTCAAATTCCTTAACAAGGGGTATGTACATTCATGTCTTGCATACAAAAAATAAGGTAAAAAGGTAAAGTTGTCCCTGTGCTTAACCAATTAAGCACTATACCATGAAGGCGTATATGGAGCCGGGACAGCATAGTTGGTATAGCGACTGGCTACAGACTGGGCGATGGAGGGGTTGAAGTTCAAGTGCCAGTAGGGTGAAAAATATTCTCTTCTCCACGTCATCAAAACCAGCTCTGTGGCCCACTCAGCCTCCTATCCAGTGGGTACTAGGGGTTCCTTCCCCGGGAGTACAAAAAGTACAGGATAAAAAATCTCTGGGTGTCATAGAACTTTGGGGACCGTCATTTTTATGATCAGCTTACCTGACCAAGCCAAAGCAGATGATTTCTTACACATTATCAAAAGAGGTTACAGTACTTTGTGCTGTGTAACGAGAAGGTTCATGTGGCAACTCCCTGTATGTTTCCATTCAGTGTGCATCTGACTATACAGAGGCCTCGCACTTCCTGTCGCGTAGGAACTCTGCTGTCAACCAGGACAACATAGCACATACTCTCACACAGCAGAACCAGCTCAGCTACTCTGGGTACTGAGGGTTAAGGGCGTGTTGCATTTGATCACACCTGACCCATGCTTGCACTGTGTGTCTTGAGCACACCTAACAACGTACCATTTATCATCGTGACAAATAACACTGCCAAGAAGTGTGCTATCCCATTTGATGGTGACCTGTATCCCACGACATATGTTGCATCACATTATGGGGAGCCTGTGTAGAGTGGGCTGCATTCTGGTGTGTCCACAGCACCTGCACCACAAATACGGTCAGGACACAGGCTTCATCAGGAGTCAAGGGCAGGATGTCAAAGCTCAGATGGAATTCATGCGGCAGAGAGAACACCTGGAACACACTGTGGCGTCCCTGAAGCGGCAGGTGTACAAGAGCACATCAGCCAAGCGGGACAATGTCTCCAAAATTATGCATGTGAGTGTTACAGTTACATACATGAATCTACAATACAGGATGGACATAACCATGGGCAAGTAAAATCTCACACACAATGAGCTCACGATTGTAATGAAAAATTTGTGAAATTATCACAAGTGATCACCAACCACTACTGTAATAACATTTAAAATATCTTCCATGTTCTTTTAAAAGTTACTTAGTGCTTTTCCCTAAACTGGACCTCTTGTATCAGACCCAAGACTGAGTAAGCAACGCTGGTAGAATAACTGGCAGGAGAAATCTGAATTGCTCAGAGGAAACCTTGCCCCAACAAATCCCACACACATTGTCCTATGTTTGAACCTGGGTACCAGCTGTAAGAAACAAGCAAGCAACTGACAACCTCAGCTAAGGCATGACAAAACACTTGAACTGTACGGCTGTGTTTTGTGTCCTGCCTGTAAGAAACACATACAGCCGGAGCTGTCATTTCGGCTGGCACCCACTGGCCAGCCAGCACATCATTACTGTACGCTCAGTACGTGTTTACACTCACGCCACAGTGGCACCCACTAGCCAGCCAGCACATCATTACTGTACGCTCAGTACGTGTTTACACTCACGCCACAGTGGCACCCACTAGCCAGCCAGCACATCATTACTGTACGCTCAGTACGTGTTTACACTCACGCCACAGTGGCACCCACTAGCCAGCCAGCACATCATTACTGTACGCTCAGTACGTGTTTACACTCACGCCACAGTGGCACCCACTAGCCAGCCAGCACATCATTACTGTACGCTCAGTACGTGTTTACACTCACGCCACAGTGGCACCCACTAGCCAGCCAGCACATCATTACTGTACGCTCAGTACGTGTTTACACTCACGCCACAGTGGCACCCACTAGCCAGCCAGCACATCATTACTGTACGCTCAGTACGTGTTTACACTCACGCCACAGTGGCACCCACTAGCCAGCCAGCACATCATTACTGTACGCTCAGTACGTGTTTACACTCACGCCACAGTGGCACCCACTAGCCAGCCAGCACATCATTACTGTACGCTCAGTACGTGTTTACACTCACGCCACAGTGGCACCCACTAGCCAGCCAGCACATCATTACTGTACGCTCAGTACGTGTTTACACTCACGCCACAGTGGCACCCACTAGCCAGCCAGCACATCATTACTGTACGCTCAGTACGTGTTTACACTCACGCCACAGTGGCACCCACTAGCCAGCCAGCACATCATTACTGTACGCTCAGTACGTGTTTACACTCACGCCACAGTGGCACCCACTAGCCAGCCAGCACATCATTACTGTACGCTCAGTACGTGTTTACACTCACGCCACAGTGGCACCCACTAGCCAGCCAGCACATCATTACTGTACGCTCAGTACGTGTTTACACTCACGCCACAGTGGCACCCACTAGCCAGCCAGCACATCATTACTGTACGCTCAGTACGTGTTTACACTCACGCCACAGTGGCACCCACTAGCCAGCCAGCACATCATTACTGTACGCTCAGTACGTGTTTACACTCACGCCACAGTGGCACCCACTAGCCAGCCAGCACATCATTACTGTACGCTCAGTACGTGTTTACACTCACGCCACAGTGGCACCCACTAGCCAGCCAGCACATCATTACTGTACGCTCAGTACGTGTTTACACTCACGCCACAGTGGCACCCACTAGCCAGCCAGCACATCATTACTGTACGCTCAGTACGTGTTTACACTCACGCCACAGTGGCACCCACTAGCCAGCCAGCACATCATTACTGTACGCTCAGTACGTGTTTACACTCACGCCACAGTGGCACCCACTAGCCAGCCAGCACATCATTACTGTACGCTCAGTACGTGTTTACACTCACGCCACAGTGGCACCCACTAGCCAGCCAGCACATCATTACTGTACGCTCAGTACGTGTTTACACTCACGCCACAGTGGCACCCACTAGCCAGCCAGCACATCATTACTGTACGCTCAGTACGTGTTTACACTCAAGCCACAGTGGCCCCCACTAGCCAGCCAGCACATCATTACTGTATGCTCAGTACATGTTTACACTCACGCCACAGTGGCACCCACTAGCCAGCCAGCACATCATTACTGTATGCTCAGTACATGTTTACACTCACGCCACAGTGGCACCCACTAGCCAGCCAGCACATCATTACTGTATGCTCAGTACATGTTTACACTCACGCCACAGTGGCACCCACTAGCCAGCCAGCACATCATTACTGTATGCTCAGTACATGTTTACACTCACGCCACAGTGGCACCCACTAGCCAGCCAGCACATCATTACTGTATGCTCAGTACATGTTTACACTCACGCCACAGTGGCACCCACTAGCCAGCCAGCACATCATTACTGTATGCTCAGTACATGTTTACACTCACGCCACAGTGGCACCCACTAGCCAGCCAGCACATCATTACTGTATGCTCAGTACATGTTTACACTCACGCCACAGTGGCACCCACTAGCCAGCCAGCACATCATTACTGTATGCTCAGTACATGTTTACACTCACGCCACAGTGGCACCCACTAGCCAGCCAGCACATCATTACTGTATGCTCAGTACATGTTTACACTCACGCCACAGTGGCACCCACTAGCCAGCCAGCACATCATTACTGTATGCTCAGTACATGTTTACACTCACGCCACAGTGGCACCCACTAGCCAGCCAGCACATCATTACTGTATGCTCAGTACATGTTTACACTCACGCCACAGTGGCACCCACTAGCCAGCCAGCACATCATTACTGTATGCTCAGTACATGTTTACACTCACGCCACAGTGGCACCCACTAGCCAGCCAGCACATCATTACTGTATGCTCAGTACATGTTTACACTCACGCCACAGTGGCACCCACTAGCCAGCCAGCACATCATTACTGTATGCTCAGTACATGTTTACACTCACGCCACAGTGGCACCCACTAGCCAGCCAGCACATCATTACTGTATGCTCAGTACATGTTTACACTCACGCCACAGTGGCACCCACTAGCCAGCCAGCACATCATTACTGTATGCTCAGTACATGTTTACACTCACGCCACAGTGGCACCCACTAGCCAGCCAGCACATCATTACTGTATGCTCAGTACATGTTTACACTCACGCCACAGTGGCACCCACTAGCCAGCCAGCACATCATTACTGTATGCTCAGTACATGTTTACACTCACGCCACAGTGGCACCCACTAGCCAGCCAGCACATCATTACTGTATGCTCAGTACATGTTTACACTCACGCCACAGTGGCACCCACTAGCCAGCCAGCACATCATTACTGTATGCTCAGTACATGTTTACACTCACGCCACAGTGGCACCCACTAGCCAGCCAGCACATCATTACTGTATGCTCAGTACATGTTTACACTCACGCCACAGTGGCACCCACTAGCCAGCCAGCACATCATTACTGTACGCTCAGTACGTGTTTACACGCAAGCCACAGTCATCACGAATCAGCCTCCGCCTCCTCCTCTTTTTAAGAAAAGGATTGGGCTGCAGTTCTATTCCACAGCCAATGTGCGGCAGTTCACATTCAGGCTTCATCCTTCCTGCACACTTCATCCAGTTTCTATGTCCTCCCACATGCCAATCTGTACCCTCCCAGGCCTGGGACACAAGTCCACACACAATGTACCTACAAAGGCTGACCTGCTGTCTGTTGGCAGGAGAACACAACTTTAATCATAGAGCTTAATGACCTGCGTAAGGAACTGAAGGCCGCACATAAGAAAATCAGTGACATGGAGTCTATCCTGGGAACAAGCAGCAGGTATACGAACCCTAAGGAAGCGCAGGCCCGCCTCCAGAGAGCAGTGCAGAGCCATGAAGACATCCACACTAAAATCAAGGTGAGTCTGTTTGATGACTGGAAGGAGGCACACATAACTAGGTTAGGTAGGATACGGTCTCTCTGCCAGCTTGTGTTCACAACAAGAAACCTCTGGACGGACTAACAACAGGGTATATGTATCTGTAAAACATGTCCACATACCTAATAGCAAACTTATGCAAATACTGCCTCAGCATGTTTATGGACAGACCAAGGAAAACTATGAGAAACTCTGTCCAGTTAAAAACACCCTTTTATTAGCGTTTCAAACTACACACAGAGTCAAATGGAAGGGCCACAACCTATCCCAGTCTTACCCTGAAGGGACAGAGGAACTAATCCATATAGCTGTCTCCAGAGTAAGGTTTGAACCTGGGACCACCTGAATATCCCGCAGCATTAGCGTAGACTCCAGCATTCGGTGGCAACTGGCACAGGATGAGAGGGCAAGAGAATGCAGATTAGGAAGCAAAACTTCACAGCTCACATACTTATGTCTGTGCAGGAGAAGGAATGCATGATCTCAATGCTAAATGAGAAGGTGGACCACCCAGCGGCCACGCTCACTAGGAGAGAGCAGGAGCAACACCAGAGGGAGAACAACTAGCAGATGATACTGCATATATTATTTATTCAACTGAAATACAAAAAACAAATAACAAAAGCTTGCACAGACAAACTGATTCTAGCAGCACACTACCATTAATCACTTGCTGTGTTCAATGAGCCAAAACATGGTCAAATGTAGTACAGCTCTCGCAGTTCCACTCATTAAAGGGCACGGCACAGGTCTAACTGCATAAACACTTAAACCAAGATGCTTCATTCTCATTAACTCATAACTACATTTGTTGTTCTTGCTGTTATGTTTTAGTATCAATATGAATACTTGTAGTGTTTCAGCTATGGAAATATATCTTGAGTTACCAGAAAACTAAATAAAAATCATTTGTATCTCAAGAAACTCAGCATAGCAACCCAAAGCAGACCCAGACATGCAATGAAGTCACAGCGCTCAGCAACCCTTTCACTGCTAAGTGCTACTGCACTTGTCTTATGGTTCACTTTACAACACAGTCAGTATCTACACTATATAAGCTCTCTGAATGGTACAGCAGATGAATAAGAAATCGAAAGGATCTGGAAGGAAGCGGTCATGGCCTGAAGGGAAGGTGGGGGCAGTCAGCATAGCTAGTGTCCCAGCCAAGAATCGAACTGAGCACGGTCTCATACCGCACGTTTTCCGTTCTGATCCACAAAGTGGGACAATTCATTAACTCACTCTAATTAATGTAGCGTCTGTACTTCCCTGCATAATACACTATGGACACAACCTGAATGAAGTACACCAAACAGTGGAGCTTAGAGCTTATGTATACATTGAGACACTGGAGTTTGTGGTGATTTCTGGCACAAGTGACCACCCTACCATGCAGTTACTGTATATGCAGCCCTATGCGATGCACTAGTTACATGGTGATAGTGTCTGGACAAGTGTCACACAGACAGGAACACTGGCAATATTATTCATTCTAATCACATAACCGACCTCACTGCACTTCTCTGCATAAGGAAACTGTGCCTATTCTGGCGGAACAGCAAATTTATAAGTACAGAATTAAATAAATATGTGTACTGATTATCTCAGGTAAACTATCCTTCATATCTGCAGCTCAGAGAGTCAGTGCAGCAGCACACACTGGTGCAACTCCACGATACACGTCTACTCAGTGTAATTGCAACACTCTGCTCAAGGATAAAACCAAGCACTGAAAGGGTTAAGTATACCTGCCGACATAAGAGAAACTCTGAGGTTTTCATAGTGATGGGTTTCATCCTGAGAATGGAGACAGTACGTTACCCTGAAACACTGATACCCACCTACCAGGTACCACAACACAGACTTATGACAATGTTCGGTACAGACAGCAGTAATTAAACCTTGTCAAACTTCACACAAAATAGAATTTCTCCCTTTCCATTGACTCATTTTACTTATTCCCCCTGAGCAGCCAAACCTTTACAGGCTGCCTCATGAATGACTTCCCTGCTCCCAATACGAAACGAAACCAGCGTAACTACACATCCAAACTACAGCTCCACAGCGCTGCCCCTTACGGCAGCATATTTACAACACACACAGCAGGTCACTACACCACCACCGCGTTACAATACAAGTTTAAGAAAACTTTAAGGCCCACTCAAACACCACGACATCTGGTCCCTCCTGAAGTTCCAGATGCTAAATGGAATGTACTATATAAACCCCCAAACTCTACAACCCAAAGACCCTAAATATGCAACAAAGAATAAGTTACTGCTCAGAAAATACAGAACACATTTCTTCTGATGGTTGATCCCAGATGACATATAACTTACAGGAGGAATGGCACAATGGCTTTGCGGCTGCGAGGGTAGCTAAGGAACTCCTTCTTGTATGCCCTGTGCTTCCCCAGCGCCCATATGGTCATCTGATACATGCCCGCCAAAGCAAACAAGCCCGCTGAAAGAAAGCATAATATCAAGTTAACAACAAGACTGGGGATCTTCTGGAATGTGATACTGTGTGTACTCTGCTAATTTGTTAGCAATATTTTTGAGAAACCTGCTGCCTCCATCTTCAGGGAAGATGAAGTACCTTGAAGATGGTAGTACCACATTCCTTCACAGCACTGGAGACCAGTATACCAGACTACAACTTTAAGCATAATGTCATTACAGGTAATTCCAAGTCACAAGAGGGACCTGTAAGCTCTGAGCTTGCGAAACCACAGTGGAAGCCCATAACGAGACTCAAACCTCACATCACTGTCTGTGACTGTGCTCAGGGTACCATGTGTCAACAGCAGAGTACACTGTGGTCAGGCAAATTTCTCTCTAATTTCAAGCTATATGAATTGTGTTATATAACTGGGAGAACCTGGCAAGCATTGGGTCATCACGCTGAAGGCCAGCCAACTGCCAAACTCATACGTGTAGTTGGGGCAGGACACCAGATTGAAGAGGGACGTGAATGGGTTCAATGTGGCTACTGGCATCTTGCGCACTGTGGTGCCTGGTGGTCGCAGGTTCCGAAGAGCTATGTGGATACTCAGGTTCCCCAACTCACATAACTGAAACAAACAGAATTGCCAACAATAGGGATCAAACTTAGAAACTGCAGCAGTTCATTCTAGGCAATGTCCACAACAAAAATGTGAAACATGAAGCCCTACAGACAGAGAGCAACAGAGGGAATGCCACAAAAGTATTAAATCAAAACACAATTTCACACAACCACAGCTACAAGAATAAAAGCTAGTGAACCACATAAAAACATCACTGCCACACATACATTTGTATTTTACAAATGCAACAACACAGTGGTACAAATACAGACAACATAATACAACTTAAAACTAACAAACGCATGAACACAGACATAATTCTGACCGACTGATGATGTAATTATGTATAATTTATAACTTTATACCCATGTTTAAAAAAATCTTAAATTCAACAAGTACACTTAATAAACATATCAACAAACTTCATATGAGGATGTTCAAACGAAACACGTTCAGGGATTGTTCTGGGCAAAGGAACAGATGCCACTATAAACAGTCCCCATGAGCACTGAGGTAGGCATCCCAGTGAAGCACCAGCCAACGTTCCCCTCCACATAGCACCCCCAGAATGCTGCTGGAACTATTGCACCACACCAGCCATGGTGCCTTCATCAGCACCAAATCTAGTGGTGCTGTGAATGGGTCTGTGGCTGTATTTACGTACGTAAGTCCATGTGTGGCTGATGATGACCTGAGCATCAAAACAGACAGCCAAATGCATGGAAACCAGCAGGAGTAATGCGCCATGATATTCGGATAGCTTTCATATGCCCACATGAACACAAAGGGCACAAACATGGACTATGCAAGAACTGACAGCCATCTGCCTACATACCAAGAAAGCTGTAAGACTCCCGTAAACTTGGATCGAGCCTGGTGCAGTGAACAGTGGGTGGTTGATGTGATAGGCGATGTACAGCGTAAACAGCCAGTAGTAGGAACAGTTCTTGAAGAGATTGAAGATGGGCATTGTTGCATGAGAGAACCGGTGCACAAACAGAGTTTCCAGAAGTCGTTTGGCGTAGTGCAGTGTCCAGCAGCCGGCTGCAATACTGTAAACAATGTTCATTTCTCGTGTCATACAGACTGTATGGGGGGATATGGAGTGGACAGCTGGCCACGGACTGACAGCAAACTACAGGCAGCATGAATGAAGTGTCTAAGGAGTGTTAAGAAACACAGATTAAATCCAAAACTGGGATATCGGGATGAATGTGAAGGTAGAAATACTATAACAGTCGGTTAAATTAACAGAGGATTGAAATGTGTGGAGCTACAGGCTGATTTTATTTAACACTGGGGTTATGGTATTTGTATCAAAAGATGTGCTGGCAGGCCAGATAGATACAGCGGTACATGTAACACGCAAATCTGTGTCAACATGTGCAGAACAGAGTAGTGAAAAGGCCCATGTGCATTTCTGGGAGGAGGGAGAAGAAAGAATCAGGACCTTTCACAGGATGATCCAACTTCAGGAAACAAGGCGTTCCTAAAGCAAGAGTAGCACAACAGGATGGATCAGTATACTACATACAGCTTACAAATCACAGAACTGACGTCAGTTCAACTGATCCCCTGTACCTGCTGCATGGAACAGTCAGCAATCCACAAAATTCAAACCAACTGGTAAAGTACAGAAACACAGGCGAGTTGCCAGTCTCGCCCATCTGCTCCTGCCTGGTTACAAAAGTTACATTCCTCTCAGTTTCACTTATGTTACCGAAACCATTAAACCAAAGAGAATAACTTGGGATAGGACAAAGCACACGTAAGGGAAATGAATGAGATCTACACCGTCTTGGCTAGAGACCACTTGACAGCAGACTTCAATGTAAAGATAACAGTAAAATGGAAATCGTGCGAGAGAAGATGTGGGGTGTGCTGTCTCAAGACAGGGTCCAGCGGCAGCCTTTTCTAGACATGGTAGGATTCCACCAAAGCAGGGAATTTCTCAACCAAGTGAGTAGTTGACTAACAGCTTTACAGGGAAGATGTTCCACCATGTTTATCCAGTTCATATTCATGCACGTGCCCTAAATGATCCTACAAGCTGGCTGTCAAACAACTTACTGTACTGCATGGTGAATGGGCACCGAACTGGCACCCTCCCCATAGAAGAGCCATGGGCGCCTGTACATGCACAGGTACAAAAGCAGTGGCCCCGCATACTCTACAAGGAACACAGTCTTCCATCCTATTTGTGGTCCCAGATCCTTCACGTACAGCTTTGAGCCACTTTTCAATCCCAAACTCTTAAGAGATTCATCTTCCTTCAGAGTCCTGCCCTTCAGCTCAAGTCGCAGGGCCTGTCGGTCGGGATGGAGAGACTTCTTCAGCCCATGAACCCTCTTCTTGAGTTCTCGAACAGATGTGGTAGGAGCAAGCTGCAGAAACCAATATTCCACTCACAATCCTCCCATTCATATAATTTACACACAGTACACAAGGGAGAGTCAGCAAACGGGTCACAAATGGAAGCAAAGCAGCTGTAATGAATGTAGTAGGTTTTCTGTGTGTATCACTAGGTAGCAGCATAGTCCAGGCAGCAGACATGCATGCTCATGTTCAGAGATTGGTTTCAGTAGTCAAAATGGCAACTGCGTTTGAGGAGTGTAATACCAAAGAGAGCAGTGTTCTGTTGAGAGTTTCCTGTGGACAAAAAGGACTAAATGCAAAGGATGTTCATAAAGAAATGCTTCTTGTTTATGGTGGGAAATATCTATCACGTAAAGAGATTCACATCTGGGTCAAGAAATGTGGCAATCACTTCACTGATGAAAAGCGAGAAACACAGGTGCGGAAGTGGCTGAGACAACAGTCAAAGGACGTCTATGCTGATGGTTTTGACGCACTGGCAAAAAGATAGGACAAATGTATCAATGTTGGTGGAGAACATGTCCAGAAATAAATGTTTTTTTCCAGATTTGAATATCACATGTTCTACGTTTTATATCCATTTGTGACCTATTTACTGACTCTCCCTCGTAGCTTCAAAAACCACATGGACAGGAGTGACCATAAAGCCACTGTGGTCAGGAGGCAGGAGCCCACCTGTGCTCACAATTCTGTGCTGGTTTAGGGTATGATGCTACCAGAGTCTCAAACTACAGTGTCCAATGGTAGCATAACTAACAGAAAATGAATTGGAATGGATTTGGACAAAAGCTGTCATGGTACTACACCTGGCATTTCCCTGAAGGGGCTGAGAAAAACCATAAAAACCTCAGACAGAATTTATTTATTTATTTCATCTCTATAGATCATTGTTACATGATATAGGACAAGTCAGTTACTGTACAGTGGCTGATTACAATAAGAGAGTAAAGTTACAATACTTAAAATTGTTTACAATAGATTACAGTAGATTACAATAGTGTGAGGTGGAATCCATATTAGGTTCCCTTGGCACGTCGGCTTCCATATGTCTTATTGTACCTGTACTGGTGATAATGCTTATGGAGAATTTGATGGAATGAGGATTGGCAAGGGAAACCGAAGTACTCAGGGAAAACCTGCCCCAGCGCCACTTTGTCCATCACAAATCCCACTTGACTAGACCACAGCGGTGGGAAGCCAGCGACTAACCACTTAAGCTATGGCGCTGCCTTTGAGATAATATTGTTGAATTTGGTGATAGCACTAGTATAATGTTTCACTGTAGACTCTACACTGCGACATCTCATTACTTCAGGCCTGGAATGACAAACTGCAAACTGCAGGGATTTTTTGTGACCTTGCTAAGGCTTTTGACTGTGTTAATTATGAGATATTGACATCTAAACTAGAGTATTATGGTGTCCGGGGTTGTATATTAAACTGGTTTAAATCATATCTCTGGGATAGAAAACAGTGTGTGTACATCAAAACTAATGATGGTCAGGACTATTTTTCATCTTGGGAAAGAGTTAAACAAGGGGTTCCGCAGGGGTCGGTTTTGGGACCACTTCTGTTTACTATTTACATTAATGATTTGCCTCCATATATTAATAAATTGGCTAAAGTTTTTCTTTTTGCTGATGATACCAGTGTTTTGGTTACTGGTAATAATCATGATGAGCTTAAGCATAAAGTCAGGGGTACACTGTCTCTTACTATAAATTGGTTCGCAGCTAATAAGTTGGCCTTAAATATCACTAAAACTAATATTATTAGGTTTGCTCTAAATCAGTCCTATAACTCTCTGGCAGTTGCTAGTGGGAATTTGTTTATAAATGAAGTTTCTGTGATAAAAATTTGGGTCTGCAAATTGATAAGAATTTAGACTGGAAGAGTCATGTAGAGTATATTCTCCCTAAACTTAGTTCAGCTATTTTTGTAATTAGGAGTTTATCTTATTTTATGAGTAAAAAAATTT